GTGGCAGTGTTGATGAGGCTGTGGCTGGCTTCCCCGTCTACGAATATTTTAACTAAATCTGTCCCAATCTTCCCACTAAGCAGTATGGGGCTATCTACCGCGGTACCCTCCTTATTCGTCCGGGTGTGGTCGATTGCGTGAACCGACACAATCACTCGGTGAGGGTCGGTTGGGTCGGGCGAGCGGCGTGACCTGTCAGTAGAGGGCACGTCTGCTACTGACTCCCAGCGTTTCCTTGCTGCTTGGTCTGTTTCTGCTGCTCAGCTTCCCCCTTTCCCTTAGCATTTTCCGGACATTCGCCTTTGCGGTGTCCCGGCCTGTTGCACGCGAAGCAGCGCCCTTTGAACGTTGCGACAGCGGCATTTGCGGCGACAGCGCGTATTGTGGCGTGCTCGTTCTTCCCACGAGGTCGATGTCCCCAGCTGCTGTTGTTGCCATAGGACCCCGATCTCGGTCGGCGAAGAGAATCAAGTTTTTCCGCCATAGCGAGAATCTCCTGAAATTCGGTGACGTTGCGGAGCTGGATTTCCTGAGCGATTTCGTGCTTCAGGCCGCCGATGTAGCGGTCGATGCGCTCGCCCTCGTGCATATAGCCCACCTGCTCACACAGCGCCAGAAACCCGCCAGTGTAGTCCTGGATGGAACCGAGTTGACGCCAAGTGCGGAGCTTCTGACGCGACGCGATAGAAGCCGCTATCGGCTCGAATCTCGTGTGCAAACCTACGCACCACGCATCCCACGTGCGATACTGTGGCACTTCCACGAAATATGACAGCGCCCAGGGTCCGGTTTGTCCTTCCTGTGTCGGTAGAGTCTGATAGTCCATCGGCTTCGTGACGATGACGCGCCACCAATCCATGGCGGGTCCTCGCAGCAGCAACACGGCGTAGCGAATCTTCGCCGAATCCTCCGAGACGTAGTTCGCGTTGAAAAACACGTTCATGGTGAATAACCACGCCTGAACGGTAGGACCACCCCGTTGACTCGGGTCAAAGCAAGGCGGACGCTGCGGCTTCAGCTCAGCGGCATCAGCGACGGCAGTGCTGACTCGCCGGTCGGCACCGAAATCGTGACGTGAGGTTGGCTTCTGGCCGCATTCGTCGCTCCGGGGTGTGTCGTGCCGTGATCGTCGTCTCCGTTGTTGCGAGCGACGCCATCACTAGCCGCGCTAGAGGGTTGCCCCACGCTTCCGTGTTGTGATGCCTGTCGTGCGGGTTGTCCATGCGTGCCTTGTGTCTGTGACTGTGCTTGTTGTACTCGTGCGACGTCGTTTTGTAGGGACGTTCGTTCTGCCGTCAGCGCCAGCGACGACAGCGCGTATTGTGGCGTGCTCGTTCTTCCCACGAGGTCGATGTCCCCAGCTGCTGTTGTTGCCATAGGACCCCGATCTCGGTCGGCGAAGAGAATCAAGTTTTTCCGCCATAGCGAGAATCTCCTGAAATTCGGTGACGTTGCGGAGCTGGATTTCCTGAGCGATTTCGTGCTTCAGGCCGCCGATGTAGCGGTCGATGCGCTCGCCCTCGTGCATATAGCCCACCTGCTCACACAGCGCCAGAAACCCGCCAGTGTAGTCCTGGATGGAACCGAGTTGACGCCAAGTGCGGAGCTTCTGACGCGACGCGATAGAAGCCGCAATCGGCTCGAATCTCGTGTGCAAACCTACGCACCACGCATCCCACGTGCGATACTGTGGCACTTCCACGAAATATGACAGCGCCCAGGGTCCGGTTTGTCCTTCCTGTGTCGGTAGAGTCTGATAGTCCATCGGCTTCGTGACGATGACGCGCCACCAATCCATGGCGGGTCCTCGCAGCAGCAACACGGCGTAGCGAATCTTCGCCGAATCCTCCGAGACGTAGTTCGCGTTGAAAAACACGTTCATGGTGAATAACCACGCCTGAACGGTAGGACCACCCCGTTGACTCGGGTCAAAGCAAGGCGGACGCTGCGGCTTCAGCTCAGCGGCATCAGCGACGGCAGTGCTGACTCGCCGGTCGGCACCGAAATCGTGACGCGAGGTTGGCTTCTGGCCGCATTCGTCGCTCCGGGGTGTGTCGTGCCGTGATCGTCGTCTCCGTCGTTGCGAGCGACGCCATCACTAGCCGCGCTAGAGGGTTGCCCCACGCTTCCGTGTTGTGATGCCTGTCGTGCGGGTTGTCCATGCGTGCCTTGTGTCTGTGACTGTGCTTGTTGTACTCGTGCGACGTCGTTTTGTAGGGACGTTCGTTCTGCCGTCAGCGCCGCGATTTCTTCGGAGCTTTCGTGCAGTTGCTGCAGCAGTTCGTTCAAGCGCTCCTGCGTGAGACTCGTGACGTCGATGTGCTCGGCCATTCCAAAGGGCGTCGGCTCAGCTTAGTCCTAGGCGCAGTCGTGGCTGCACGCGTTTACGAGAGAACGCGAGGACAGCGGCTCCTAGGTGCTAAGGGGCGTGAGTCCCTTCGAGAAAAAATAAAAAATTGATTTCTCGGGTTGCGGAGATGCGCGGTCCGAAAAGGAAAGTGGCTCTGGATACCAAGTGTTACGGGTGCAATGGAACGAGGTAGCGAGGATTGCACTATGTGGGTCAGAAGTACAAAGTATGAGCGAAGGCATGAGCGAATACTTATGTGGGAAACATGCAACGATTACGCGGTGCGTGCGAGCTAGCTAGTGCTAGGCTGGCATCGAGGTTCGGGCTAGTCCCGAAGCGTGGGCGGACTCGGCCAGGCCAACAGTGCAAGGTTTGGTAAAACAGTGCGCGCGAAGTTGGCGAAGCCCCGTTAGCAGTAACGGGCGAACAACGGCTGCTGCTGTACGCGATGTTGAAGAACGCGGTAAGGAATGCTGAAAAATTCCTTACACCTTACCATAACAGTTACTACACGCACTTCGGCCTCTTCGCCAACTAGCCGATTTCACCCAACGGAACATTTGGGCCGACCAAGATTTTTTCATTGGTTGGCGCCGTTGCCCGCCTGCCCGTAGAATGCGCTCGAGGCACATTTGATCCAGATCAATGGCGGCGATCCGTGGCCTTCAGTGAATATTTTGTGGCCAACGTGCTCACTCCGCAGCGACACCGACGTTCCCGCTTGGCGACTAGCCGAACCGTGATGGCGCCAAATTTCGCAGGCGAAAATTCGCCAGTCCGCGACGCGACACCCGCTCAGCAATTTTCTTCTGGCCTTCCTGTTCCAAACCAAACTCCCGCAGGCACCCGACCGAAATTCCGACCTTTCTTCATCGATACAAATTCGAAGCTGTCACATCTCCATATTCACCATTCATCCCTTCCACGCTTCTACCAGTTTCAAAACACACAGCTTGATAGCTCCTCTCGCTTGCTCTTCTCGGATTCTTTCACTCCAGACCAGCTCGTAAGAGCCGAGAAGTTGTGTTATCGCCGAATACTTCTTTCCGCAGCCATGGCCGTTTCTCGATCCGCTCTGCTCCTGCTTGCTCTCGTGGGCTTGGCCATTGTCTGCTCGGCTCAATCACCCGCGCCCAAAACAACAACTCCACCCAAGACAACTCCCGGGAAGACCGGGGGAGCGCCGGCCGGACCGCCCGCCCCGTTGACGCCGTTCGACGAGGCCATCCAGAAGCTCAACAAGTCGGGATTCACCAGCTTCGTCTCCCTCGTCAGCGCCTACGGTACGAACCGCGAAGTACCGCGAAGAACCTAGACTGAATAACTTTGTGGCTGAATCACCGACTTCACACTTCTTCGGTTCCGAATCCATTTTGTTCTGATGGAATCATGGTGTCGCACAACCCCTCCTCTTGTGATCCTATTTTGGCCTTGTCGCTCAAAGTCTCTCCCCCTTTCCATCCCACCCGCGCGTCTCATCCTCCTAACAGGCAAGATGAAGGAGGTGAAGGCGGCTCTCTCGAAGCCGCTCACCATGCTGGTGCCGTCGAACGCGGCGATCGGCAAGCTGCAGATCACCAAGTACAAGTCAACGGAGTTGATGGTGGTCGTCGGATTCTCCGCCTTCAAGAAGGTGATCCCCGCCGATGCGCTCAAGACCCTGCCCGTGGGAACTAACATCCCGACTCTCGCGAGCACCAAGTCGGGCAAGCCAATGACGCTTCAGAAGCTGGCCAACAACAAGAAGGGGCAGATTGTACTGCTGGGCAAGCCGGGCAGCAACATGACCATCACCAAGCTCAACTTTTACCTCAAGCCCGGCATGCTCGTCGTTCACACCACCGATGCCGTCGCATTCCCCACCACGCTCCAGGGCAAGGTCCTGTAACTCAGGCAACAGAAGCGCAAAGCAGCAGTGGCGCATTGACAGGGAAGATCAATAAATGAGGCATGCGAATCGGTAACGACTTAGTTGCTCATTCAGAGTTAGGTGTTAGGGTAGGACTACGGATAGAAGAATGTGTCCTGTCCATTTGATTTTATACGATTCGTGATTTCGTGCGAAATACCAAGTGTCTTTCTGTCTCGGCCAATCGGGAAAGGACTACGGTCTGGGGAATTCGCTAATATCGGTGAGCGATACGTCACACAGCCTTGGCTTGAGATACTCGACATCACCTTTAAATGCTTGACTTGAGCGGCCACATCTCTGAATTCCACATCATTTTTTTTTCCAGTTATTTGTTATTATCTGTAATCTTCACCTTACCCGATTTGGAAAAGGAACATAAACTGAATCCGTGAGGTTCGGGTTATTTTTTCAAGTTTATCAGGAGGACCACGTGAAGCATAGTTTTTTAATTGGTACAACATCATCATGTAACTTCGACCAGAGTCTTTTAGGTCGATTGCCACAGTGAGCCCTGGTTAGGTGACAGCAACTGGAAAGAGCAAGCGTTACAATTCCACTTGTTTTCAGACTCGTGATCAACAATTTCACATTCTCGCAATCGCCCGCAAGTTCGCCCAAAACGAGCTACTATCAATTATTAGCGCCAACGTATGAGCATCAAGCTCGAAACTCCCAGCTTTGTGCACCTGGACCTAAAGTTTTCTCCAGGATTCATAGCCGGCTATGACCATGCTCGCGTCACTTCATTCCAGCGGGGAACACAATCGCATCCGTCGTGTGCACGGCCAGCTTCCCGACTTTTAGGTAAAAGTCTCCCTTAGTGATCATCAGCTTGCTCCCCGGCTTGCCCTGCATCGCTACCCAGCGCGCCTTGGGAGGGGAGAGCTTCGAGAGCATCAGTGTCTTCTTGGACTTGAGATCCGTTGCGAGCGTCGCGAGCGTCGCGTTCTTCGCGAGGCTTCGCAGCTTCTGGAAGGGCATGACGCCTTTGATGGCGTTGAACATGACGAGCGTGGAGAGCTGCGCTGTAGAGTAACTCGTTATCTTGACCTTGGCAATGGCGGCGTTGCTGGGGACGAGCATGGTGAGCGGCTTGGAAAGAGCCGCCTTGACCTGCTTCATCTTGCCTGCGATGGGGACAGGAGGGACAAATTGGAACAAATATTATGAGATATAACAGAATCAGAGTGGGATGAGAAGCCAGTTTGCAAGGTGCAGAATGCGGCGAAGCCAGTAGCAATGTAGCGAATGCAGTTGGGAAAGCTTTGGGAAACGGGGAAGTGTTGTTGACATGTCTGCTGAGAGGTGAGAGGTGAAAGTGCTGATAAACTGAACTGAAGGGAAGAAGGGGTTCCACCAACTTGGTTCCAACTTCCAACTAACGCGAAAGCTGACATGCGGCGAAGTGATAGGGGAATTACCATAAGCACTAACGAGAGACACGAAGCTGGTGTAACCCGAGTTGTTCAGCTTCTGAACGGCTTCGTCAAATGGCGAGAGAGGCATGGGCGACAGAGCAGAGGCGAAAATCGCACATCCAGCGAGAACGACGAAGATCAGGATTGAGCGGGAGACGGGGATCGCCATGGTTCTGAAGGCTGAGTGAATTCGTCGCAGAAGAGGTGTTGATGAGTTGAACTGGAGTTGGCGATGAATGAGTGTCCCGCTTGCGACGGTTATATGCTTGGGGGGGAGGGGATGGAAGAATTTGACAACCGACTTTCAATCTGCTGCGACAACTGCAACAATGTAGCCGACACAATTCGAGCGTTACAGTACCGTCCTTGGACCTTGAGCCGACAAAGCTGTGTGTGAACGACGTCGTTCAAGCATTCTGCTCCTCCGACAAGAGGACGACGACAACACTTTCTAACGACTGTTTCGATGTCGCTCATCGCAGATGGTATGCTGTCACGGACATCGGCTGGGTCCGCGGTTCCCGCAACAGAACGATAACATCACTAACCTGAGGGCAATATGTAATGTGAATAATGTATCATTCATTAAATGATGTATGATACTTACCGTATATGAAATAATATGCTGCTATGTACGTGTGAAAAAACAGTGCTCACGATGAGAATAGCAAACTTTTTTTCTGAAGAGTGATGCATGAATAACTAGAAAAGGTTATTGAGTAAATGCATATGGACGTATACCTGTCGTATCAGCCAAGTGTGCTACAAACAAGGTGATGTTATGTCACTACCATGCTGTGCGCACCAGTCCATATACGATGAACGCTACTACTATAAGCCCTGTTTGCACATGCAATCAGGCACAGGGTACATGATTGCATCCTTGCCCTTTTTATGAGTGCGCAGCTGTGGTTCCCCAATCGAGTCATGATGAATCTCCACCATTGCTTTCTCAAACTCCTCTTCTGTCAACCGCCGTCCATTCAACCCCCCTGATTGCTCATCCAGCAATAACTTCACGATTTTCCGTTTATTGGGCATTATCGTCTTTCTGTGCCCAAAGTAGGCACGATGCCCCTGAAAGAGATTGCACGCAGAGAAGTGGAGAGTGGCCCAAGCAAGACAGTTAATATGTCAACGGGAGAGAAGGAAGGCAGCTAAGAGTGCAAACGCAAGCAAACGAAAACCATGCGCAAGATAGACCCCTCATACTTCAAACCTTGTCCCCAATGCGGACCCAGACTTGTATGGCATACCCCATATCCCCCATAACACAATTGTATGAAACTCTCTTCATGGTACCTCACACATGCGCCATGTTGCCTCCGTGCGACGGCATGAACACATGGCTGCTCGCACATATGATGAAATCCACAAGAGTATGCCAAAAGCACACACCCCCTCATAGTCACTTTTATCATACCCTACCTGCATCACATGCACCATATCCCATATGCCCCGTTCTCCACACCTGAATGACATGTGCCATGTTCCCCCCGCGCGACGGCATGAACACATGGCTGCTCGCACATATGGTAAAATCCAGCGCTGCCAGCACGTTGGCCTCAAAGCACAGATCCCTTCACACACCATACCTGAATGACATGTGCCATGTTCCCTCCGTGTGACGGCATGAACACATGGCTGCTGGCACAGAGGATGAAGTCCAGAGCAGCCAGCACGTTGGCCTGCCGTGCAAACACCTCCAGCTCTCCTGGGAGTGCGAGGCTCTCCTTGCTGTGCACCGCAGAGAAGGACATCCAGAGCGGCGCCAACGCCAGCTGTGCGCCTCCCATTGGCTCCGCCCCCGCCCAGAACACCCGCGTGCGATTGGTCGCTCCAAACGACTTGAGGAGACTGTGAGAGAGGGAGAGGAGAGGAGTGAAGAGGGGAGGAGGAACATGGAGGGAAACGGGAGCGGGAGCACATGGGAGGATGGAAGGGGGAGAGGAGGGAAGTTTCAGAATTCCAGCATTGGACCACCGTGATAAAATGGCTTGCTAAGTAGCGGATGATGCGTCCATAACCCCCCCGGCTCTGCAGCTCTAACCCTTCTCTAGGATCGATCCGGCATCCCCAGTGCAGGTTTTCTGACACCCCCCACTCACAGGGATGCCCTATGACACAGCACATCGGCAACGACATGAGCGCCAGCATGTGCGCACATGGGGATTTGAACCAGAAACCTTTCACTCTGATACCATCTCAGAATCCCAGCCACTAGACCACTGGCATAAAAGTGCTTGTTCAGTGCACCTGTAACCCTTCCCTATGATCGCTATGGCATCCCCAGTACAAGTCTTCTGACAAGAAATTTGGGGTGGGGAAGATTGGGGAGGCGAAGGAGGGGAAGCGAGGAAGGATGGGAGAAGCACCACACCACACCGCAACTCACCGCACAACACTGCAACTCACAACACCACACGGCACTTCTTTGCACCACACAACGCCTCTCCGCACCACACGACACCTCACCGCACCACACCGCAACTCACCACACATCAGTGCAACTCACCGAACCACAACGCAACTAACCGCACAATCACGTCAGCAGTCAAAGGGCACAGCCCCGCAGCAAATCTCTCCTCTGCAGTCAGATTCAGCCGCCCCGTCAGCAGGTCCGGCCGGCCCACCCTCTCCCGATCCACCGCCGCATCTAGCTCCGGCCCGAGCCTCGGGTAGCATCCGGTCCGGATCCACACGTCCGGCTCCAGCCGTAGATGCAGCGCAACGAACGGCCCAGATGCAGCCATCCGGGACACGAGCTTCTGACCGAGGGCCAGGATCGGCGGGATGAATCGCAGGGCGTGAAATTCGACCTTGCATCGGAGCTTCTGGAGTTCCCGAGGGAGGTCGGGGGTTATGGCTTGGTCGAGGCCTCTTATAAGGAGTACGTGCTGCCGACGAAGCTGGTGGGTGTAACGGGGTGGGAGTAGTATACAAATAAGGTTTAAATGAGACGATTGGAGGGGGGTAACAATTGGTAAAACAGGGATGAATTGGAAGGGAAGCTGTTGGGAGTAACGGGGTGAGAAACGCCACATTGTGCCTGTGTGTAGCGATGCTACACCTACAACCTCAATAGTGTGCTTAACACTCCAAGTGTGTAACATTCAGAGCGTTCCTAAGCCTTATTATGTGCATAACATAGATAGTGCAGTGTGTAACACTGAAGCGCGGTTGTAGTGACACTAACAGGTGGAAGAAGGCGAGAAATGATCCATTCCGGTGTCGACCCCGTGGGAGGAAGCTTCTCGTCAGGTGCGGCGCGCAGGTAGTGGGGCGGCAGGGTGGTTACCACCCTCACCTCGCTCCGTAACACCCGCTGAAAGTGAGGCACGTCAAATATCTCAGAAAACTCACTGTTTGGGTTGTGGGAAGTGGAAAGAAAGGGATAAGAAGGGAAAGAGGGTGGATAGCACTTTCACTTTGCTCTGCATCACCCGCTGAAATATCTGTTGTGTGATGCCATCATATGCATTCACATCTGTCTGTCTCCTATTCTATGTTGCTACGTTGCATGCGTGGTATGCGCATGTAAAAGAATTTGAGTTTGGTGTGGTTTGGATTTTCAGAGTGTGTGTGATTCTTTTACTTGAACATATATTTTAAAGCTCGCGTCTCATATTTTCTCCGTTTAACACTTGGTTGGGTTTGGGCCTCCGTGACTGGTTTGCGATTGACGGAATCTGAGACGAGCTGGGGTAAATTTCTGCCTAAACCAATCACGGACGTGCGTAACCAACCAAGTGTTAAACGCTCGTAAATATGAGACGCGAGGTTTAAAGGCTTCTCTGCTCAAGAGCGTTCCGACGAGTCAAGGATCAGTCAGGGCAAGAATGAGAAAGCTACGAACGTTTAAAGTTCGTATGCTTATTACAATTGTTGCGACGACCATGAGAATTTGTTAAAGCTGCGGCCTACATACCTCACGCGGGAGGCCTGAGTTTATCACTTGAAAACCAGGTTGCTGTGAGCTTCAGTGGCGAGGTGCGATTTCTGATTTGTGACCTCTGCAACCCCCCCCTGAAAATTCGCACTCTCAGGATTGGCTCATCGGTTTCGCCAAACCCCATTCCCAACCCTGACTTGTTGTTGGTTTTGACGAAAACGCCAAACCAATCCAACCTCTCGAAACGTTTGAGGATTCGCCGAGGGTTGTTCTCCCACCCGAGATTTTTTCACGAAACTGGCGGGATTCGCCAGTCTTGTTTGACCCCTTCGCACCCCCATTTCAGGACAAGGGTCACTTCGCAAGCTAATCAGAGTGCGTCCTAGGGTGTCCACGCTAATTGTCCCCCCAAAAGGCATTTATGAATGTAGACCGCAGCTTTCAGTGACTTTTTGTGGGGTACAGACCATTAAGGGTTGGGAAAATTCGACTCTGTACTGTTGGGAAAAAGAAAACCAGCAAGTGTGACCAACTTGCTAGAGGTGGATTGCATGAGTTGGGAAAAAGACAAGGGGGAAAATTTCGGTTCGTACAGGGAGGGGATTTTGTGTGATTATGGGGTTTTTTTCTCCCACCAGCACAGCTCTAAGAATTCGAGCGATCACCACCGCATTCCTTATCTGCAGCCGCATCTGGTTCATAACCTTGTCACCACTCCACACCCTTCCCCACCTCACTTCATCCTGCCCTTAGGCCCCTCCTCTCACCTCCTATCATGCCAGATGTTGTTTTCTTGCAGCACCGGCACCACCAGCACAGCCCTGAGACCGAGCAACAAAGACAGCATTCCCTACTCCCCTTCTCCACCCCCACTCCCCCTCTCACCTCCTGTCGTGCCAGATGTTGTTTTCTTGCAGCACCGGCACCACCAGCACAGCCCTGAGAATGCGTGCGATCACCACTGCGTTCCCTATCTGCAGCCGCATTTGGTTGAGCCCCCCTGTCACCACGGCCATCAGATATCGCCCTCGGTTCAAAGCCTCTATGGAGTGGTTCCGGTAGGTGGGGGAGTGGCGCAGGCATGGTTTCAGGCCCAGGGACGGAGGCTGGGAGGGTGGTTGTGGGTATGTGGGGAGGGGGGGTCAGGAGACAAAGAAAGACTATCACTCTGTGCACTTTATCACAAGGCCTTTAAACTACTTCTCGTCATTTATTGCCCAGCCACATTATATCAAAGTCCCCAGCCTCATCAATCCTCCCAGCCTCATTTATCCCCCCAGCCTCATCAATCCCCCCAGCCTCATCAATCCCCCCAGCCTCATCAATCCCCCCAGCCTCATCAATCCCTCCAGCCTCATCAATCCCCCCAGCCCCATCACCTCCCTCAGCCCCATCTCTCACCTGTTCCCACAGTCTTCTCTCCTTCTCACTCCACACTCCCCCACCCCCCTCCTGCAGAGTGGGCAGCCCATCCTCCTCCAACACCCTCCTCTCCTCCCTCTCCTCCTCACTCTCCCCCTGCAAATCCTCCTCTCTCACACTCTCCAAACCCACCTCCTCTCTCCCCCCACCGAACCCCCACTTTCCCCCATAATCATCCGCCCCCCAGACCTCCCCCCCAGGGCCGTGAAAACTACCATCACTGCTTAACGATCCGCCCTCCAATCCGCCTCCCACCCCCTCACCAGATTCATCCCCTTCCACTCCATCCCCTCCTCCTCCTGCACCCCCTCCTCTCACTCTGTGCCGCTGCTCCTCCTCATGCTGCTTCCTCAGCTTCTCGTTTGGCAGTCGCCGCTTCTTCTTCCCCCTCCCTCTCCCTTTCTTCCCCCTCTTCTTCCCCAGATACCCCCCCCCCTCCGACTCCACTTCATGTTCTCCTTCTCCCCATCCACGTAACTCTCCGCCTCCTCCCTTCTCCCTCCGTCTTCTTGCCACATCGACCCATTTCTCTCCTATCCTACTCAGTTCCTCGCCTTCGTCTCCTTCCTCCTCGTACTCATCCTCCTCCGAGCCTGATCGCGACTTAAATTCGCCATTCACCCAGTCATACACCCGATCCTCTTGCTCAGGCTCGGCTTTGGCTTTCTCGCCCGAGTCTGAGGAGGAGGTTCGGAGGCCAGGAAAGGTGTCCTTATCTTCCAAACCTCGCCTGAAGTTAGGTCTGGTGGGGCGGCATGGCAAGGCACGGATTGGCAAGACACGTCATGGGGTAAAAAGGAATAGCAAGAGATAGTATGAGATGGCACGGCCGTAAGTGGAAAGGAATGGCATGGCATAGAGTAGAAAAAGGAATGGCATGGCACAGGAGAGAACGGAAAGGAATTGCATGGCATGACATGGAGTGACATAGAGGAATGCAGTGGGATGCAATGGAGAGATGGATACAGCATGAGATGGTGGTGCAATCGTGTGGGCTGCAAGTCATGGCATGGCATGACAAGTATGGTGACTCGCAAATCAGTAATAGTGGGAAGTACACGCATATAAAAGTTAACTTTGAGCTTGAAACGCACAAAAGCCAGGGTCTCAAGTAGACCAAGTGTTTTGCAGTCGATGAAAAAAGGGCCTGTCTGATTGGTTTACGAATATGGGGCCAAATTTTTGTCAAATCGAGACTCGCCAAAGAACCCACTTTTCGCCCAAGTGTTTTGCAGTTGTACGGCCAGTCCGTACATGAGACCCTGGCTTTTGTGGCAACGGCGCAGAGCAAGACGAGTAGAGCTGATTCTAACCTGGTGACTTCAAGTTGACTCTCAAGCAACCGAGAAGTACAACCAATGAAAACGAGCGGAGCTGACTCTGTGCTGGTGTTAATTCAAAAGATCCTGGGTCGACTTTTGAGGCGCCTCAAAAGTTAATTCAAAAGATCCTGGGGAGCACGACCAATCATAACGAGCAGAGCTGGACCTGTGCAGATTCTGACCTTGGGATGATGTTGAAGGCAAAGGCGCAGAGCAGGACGAGCAGCAGCACGCGTTCGAGGGTGCAGTATGAGGCGAAGAACGACCGCCTGTCCGCGAAGTGCCTGCGAAAGAGTGTAACCAGGATGAAGAATGTGTAAGGATAGTGGTGTAACAATGCTGATAAATGTAACATTGTCGCGTAAGAAGGACACGTTTTTGAAGGACGTGAGTAACAAGGACGCGAGAACCATGAAGCGAGTAGTCATGATGTGCGTAACACGTGTATTTCTTACGCAAATAATGATGGCGTGCGTAACAAGTGCGTCCATTTCCTAGTATTGTTCACATTATCAATAATGTGGTCGGACCGCATTGACTCAACGGCAATAAAGAATTAGCTAAAATCGCAGATAAGATAATGACTGACGATAAATGGAATGATGCACCGTGACGATAATCTCCACTCACCGGCTATGCCGCCTACCACCCTTGGACCGCATGGGATGAACTACAGTAGCAGAGCGAACGTAGTTAACGAAACTCGAAAAGGCAACTGTAACGAGGACGAATGTAACCCCTTAAGCACGGTAGGGTGCCGTCTCGTATGGTCTAAGACACATTGGCGGCCGCGCATTAAGCGAGCTGAAGAAGCTCCTGAAATTCTCCTAGCCAGCAGCTACTTCTACTAACAATATGTGTTCGACTCTGATTAGCTTCAATGCACGTTGTCAGAAGTTGAGTTAACTTACAAACTATCAGCAACGGGACGGCAGCATAACTTATCTGCAACTATTATCGCGCAGGTTTCACACAGGACCCTCCTACAGACAACATACTACGCGTTGAGAAGTGATGGAAAAGGCTCACATCCGCTACTCACACAGGTTCCACACGGGTAGGGCGACACCCTCACGTACTTAGACTTTCTACTCTGTTATGCTACGCGAATTGGAAAACCAAACGAAGCGCAGCCTTCAGCCAAATACTGAAGCTGCCATAGTAGCGTCAGGATAAGACTGGAAGCTAAGTCATAAAGGTACAGTTTTCAGGCACAATACGACTCTGATATGCCACACTACGCAAGCCGGGAAGCAACCAGGCTGAAGCGTGCACGCAGTTGGAACCTGGAAGCAAGGAGGAATGGACTTTCACTTCCCTTCCTGGTTGAAAGAAAACAAATTCAGCCGAAGCCCGGACGCAGATCGCGTTTGCGCGGGAATCTCAAAGACGATGGGCTGTCAGACCGTTGAGCCATTCTCGATATTGTCAGAAATCCGTGGGAGACCGAAGGGATGTTAAAGAATTACATGTAGGAATAGAAACTGAGCAGAAAGGATACGTATATAAACCAAAAGTCAACTCAGTATTCTACAATAATTTTCAAGCTAGTGTTAGGAGAAGATAACACCCTCACCCTCCACCACTTCGCCTACAAGCACGGCTGATGGATTGCTTTCTAGAATGCGCTTAGAAGCCTCCGAATCCACTATAAGCACCATCCCAATCCCAAGGTTGAAAACACGGCGCATCTCATCTTCAGCAATATTGCCAGCCTGCAGAGAACAAGCAAGGGGAAGCACGAGGCAAAGAATAAATTAGCACACACTATTGAAAAGACAACACACACAGCATACACTTCCTGCAACTGCTGCAAAAGGAACACAGAAAAACACTCATAATAACGCAAACTAAACATATACAAATCATTATCCGTATTATAACAGCTCACTCACCTTTCTGAGCCACTTGAAAATCGGCGGCTCCTCCCACGCAGTCATGTCCGCTTTCGCAGCCAGACCAGCAGGGAAGATTCTCGGAATGTTCTCAGTAAAGCCTCCCCCAGTAATGTGCGCGATGCCATGCACGCCGCCCCCCTTTATAATCTCCAACACCTGCCGCACGTATATCACAGTGGGCTCTAGCAGCGCGCCCCCTATAGTCACACCCGCAGGGGCGCCTGGGAGGGGGTCTGAGAGAGAAGCCCCACTGGCATCAACCACTCTGGAAGGGGGGGAGAGAGAGGAGAGGGGAGAGAGAGGCAATGGTAAGAGCAAAGCATCAATGCCTTGAACAGCCGGCATCCACCACCACACTTGAAAAAGGGGGGGAAGAGGAAAGAAGGTCAGAGGGGAGGGAAGAAGGGAGAGACGTCTGGGAGGGGGTCTGTGAGAGGAATCAACCACTCTGGGGAGGGAAAGTGGGGGATGGGGGAGGGGAGGGGAAAGGGAAAAGGGAGGGAGGAGGTGAGGGGCTGGCACAAGAGGCTTTGAAGGGGGTCTGAGAGGGAAGCGCCACTAGCGTCAACCACTCCGGGGGGAGAAAGGGAGGGAGAAGAGGGGGAAGAGAGGAGCGCCTGGGAGGGGGTCCGAGAGGGAAGCCCCACTGGAGTCCACCACTCTGGAAGTGGGGAGGGGAAAGGGGGAAACCCATTTGTGATTTGTGACGTGTTTGGAGTCGTCTTGAATCCCGTTTGCTCATCAACCTTCATGGCACAACCAAACAACCACATGCACACAACCACACATGCACACATGCACACAGCCACACATGCACACATGCACACAACCACAATAACCTTCGACCCACCTGCGTGCGAGGGAGAAGCCATTGGAGTGCAGACCTGACGATGGCAAACCGATGATCTTATCGCCCTTCCTTATACCAGATCCGTCTATAAGCTCTGCTTTCTTCACCGCCCCCACTGCTAACCCATTGAGTATCAGTCCTCCAAACTACCCTGGGAGAGAGCAAGGACACCTAAAAGAAAAACCCACCTGCGTGCGAGGGAGAACCCGTTGGAGTGCAATCCCGAGGACGGCAAGCCAATGATCTTATCGCCTTTCTTTATACCGGATCCGTCTATAAGCTCTGCTTTCTTCACCGCCCCCACTGCGAACCCGCTCAGATCGTACTCCTTGTCAGCATAGAACCCGGGCATTTCAGCCGTCTGATTGGTTGAGTAAACAGGGGGAAAGATGGAGGGAAGATTCAGTGAATCTTCACCTCCCCCACTGCGAACCTGCTCAGATCATACTCCTTGTCAGCATAGAATCCAGGCATTTCCGCCGTCTGATTGGTGGAAGAAACGGGGGAGAGTGGGGGGAATAACGAGAAGATTCAGTGAATCTTCACTGCCCCCACTGCGAACCCACTGAGATCGTACTCCTTGTCAGCATAGGGACCCAGACATTTCTGCTGTCTGGTCGGTTGAATAAACAGGGAGAAAAATGGAGGGAAGCTTCAGTGAATGTTCATTGCTCACACTGCGAACCCACTCAAATTGTACTCCTTGTCAGCACAAAACCGGGGTATTTCCGCCGTCTGATTGGTCAACAAAGAAAAGGAATGGGGGGGAGACATGGACTGGACATGAAATCCAATAAACGAAGAGACAAAGAAATGGCATTTAGCACAAAGGCTTTTCTGCCAGCAGCCAGACTTCACCACCAGGGCATCAGTGCCACATCAGCCCCACACACCCACCACATTCCTCAGTCGAACCATCATCGCCCTCTTCCCCCACCCGCCCCTCCCCTCTTTCGTCTGCATCTCCCACGCACCTCCCCTCCCAGCAGCACGCAGTCGGACTGCTTGCACCCGTCCACGATTCCCTTGATGACCTGATGGGGGTGGTGGGAGTGGTGGCAAGGAGATGACAGAAAGGAGAGGAGGGAAGTTACCACATGTGTAGTGCACACACACACAGGTGCACCATCAGCAGCAGCACACAGTCGGACTGCTTGCACCCGTCCACGATTCCCTTGATAACCTGATGGGGGTGTTGCGGGTGGGATGGAGGTGAAAGAAGGGAGATGTTGGCATGGAGAGGAAGGAGATCATCAGCAGCACACAGGGGGATTGCTTGCACCCGTCCACAATACCCTTTATGACCTAATCTGGGTGGGACGGAGGTGGTATAGAGGGGTGATGGGGTTGGGTTGAGAGGCATTTAGCAGAAATAGAGGTGCAGAATGGGGTTGTAGCAGACCCCCAGCAGAAATATTCCTCGTCCTGTCTGCTACAGCCCCTTTACACCATTTAGCACCGCACGGTAGCACTCAGAATCGCATCTGCTCAGCCTGGTCCACCTCCAGCTTGCTGGAGGCAAAGTAGTCGAGGAAGAAGAGAGGGCGCGCTCACACCTGCTACTACCCCTCTAAACTAGACCCTCGGAACCGCACAGCACCGTACAGCACTGGAAAGAACCACGCAGCACCACTCTGCATCCCACCCACCTGCTCAGCCTGGTCCACCTCCAGCTTGCTGGAGGCAAAGTAGTCGAGGAAGAAGAGAGGGCGAGAGTGGCTACCACGCGCCTGATACATCCCCTTTAAACCCTTCTTCACTGCAGCACCGCACAGAACCATGCAGCACCACTCTGCACCGCACCTGTTCTGCCTGGTCCAACTCCAGCTTGCTGGAAGCGAATTAATCGAGGAAGAAGAGCGGGCGAGCACACGCCTGCTACAACCCCTTTAAACTAGACCCTCAGCACCGCACAGCACCTCACATCACTGGACAGAACCACACAGCACCACTCTGCACCGCACCTGCTCGGCCTGGTCGACCTCCAGCTTGCTGGAAGCGAAGTAATCGAGGAAAAAGAGCGGGCGAGCGCCTGACGTGATGATGTCGTTGACACTCATTGCCACCTGGAGGGGTGGGGTGGGATGGGAGGGGATGCGGTGGGGTGGGGTGGGGAGGGGCGGCATAGATAAGAGTGCGATGGGTGCGAGCAGAGGGAGAAGAGAGGGCGCGATCCGGACGTGATGATGCCGTTGACACTCATTGCCACCTGGTGCAGTGGGGTGAGATGGGGTGGGGTGGGGTGGGGAGGGACGACAGAGATACGAGTAAGATGGGTGTGAGCAGAGGGAGAAGAGAGGGCGAGCGCCGGATGTGATGATGTCGTTGACACTCATTGCTACCTGGTGAGATGGGGTTGGGTGTGTGGGACGGCAGGGAGAAGAGTGTGATGCGTGGGAGGAGTGGGATGAGTGAGAAGGGATGGGTAGGATGAGTGGGAGCAGGGCGCGCGACGGATGTGATGATGTCGTTGACGCTCATTGCCACCTGGTGGAGTGCGGTGGGGTGCGGTGGGGTATGTTGGAGTAGGGTGTGTGCAGCGGCAGGGAGAAGAGTGAGATGGGTGGGGGATGCGTGAGAGGGCGAGCGGTAGTGATGATGTTGTTG